CCCGCGTCTCCTGCATCGGCAGGCGGACTCTCAAGCACTGCGCCACCAGGGAAGCCCAGGCATTTGGTTTTTAAACATACTTACGTTGACTGCCCGTTATTGACTGTAGAGCAATTCCTATGATACATAAAGAAAAAATTTAGATATATAATTGCAAATGTAATGTAACTAACAAATATCAGACTGAGACTAAGAAAAACCAGAAGATTTTTTTACACTGCACCAATAAATATTATAACTAAAAATAACCAGCTTCACTTATGAATCCAGTTTAAACAAGGCATAATTAGATTATAACATAAAGGTTATAAACCCATGTTTAGAGAAAGAAAAGGTTTAAAAAAAAGATAGTTCATAATAGATAATGCCTAGAACACGAGCACTTTAAATCAAGAGGCAAATTTTTACAGTTTACAGTCTAAGGTCATGAAGTAATAGTCAATTATGAAGCAAACCTCCATTGAAAGTTTGAGCTTTTTTTTTAGCAAAATCCTGATGAGCATTCTCTCTCCTTGCCCATTAATATTTATTAAGCACCTATGATATATCAGGCTGTGTTAGGCTCTAGAGTTAGAATGGTGAGAAAAAAGATAACCGTCATAGAGATTTAGTGGGGACAATGGATATTAATCAAATAATCAGATACACAAATGAAAACCAAACTGTAATAACTACTAGGGAAGATACTAGGAAAGCCTCTATTAAAGGGACTTGAGCAATAAGCTCGTCAGACTTTCAGAGTGAAAACTGTTTGAAATACCTTGAATTTATTGCTCAACTCACTTTCCCAAATATTTTTATTATCATAAGTTTTTGTCATTCAAAATCTTAATAGAGTAAATGTAAAAAAGAAAAGCCTCTAATTTATAAGCCAATTTACAAGTCAAGGGTGCTTGTCTGACCTTCTTATAGCATCAAACTCAGCATTCTCTTCTTTTATGTTCAAAGAAAGCTTTCTTAAAGGTTAAGTAGGAAAACACAATGGAATCCCAGAGCCTTAGCAAAAGGAGTGGGATTGGGGCCTAGCAATTATAGCTGAAGAAAATCTGGACCAGGTCAACAATTACTAGAAACTTGGAAAGTTATACATTTAAATAGCATCACTGTGATCATCAGTTGCTCACCAGGTAGTATGACTAATAACTTGGGATCAGGAAAATCCACCTAGAATAACATAGCAAGGGTTTCAGTGATGCTGACATGGCTTCACCTCCACTTTCCACCACGACAGCTGAGAAGCTATCGTGGAATGTGGGGAGGAGGTCTGAAGTCTTCCCCATAACAACAAATAATGTTTGGGAATGGCCACTGCCAACCTTAGACAACCTTAGACCTTGCATAAATGTTATCTGATTTTTTAAATTACCTATGACCAAACTTTTAAACAAAAGTCAAGGTTCTGATAGAAAGGAGAAACATACACTCATGGTGTCTAAAAGGGCATTCTTGAAATACTCAGTACCTGTATTTCATGGCTTTAGGCATCCTTAATTTTGTAGAAGTGATAAAACTCCTCTACTTAAAAATATTCAACAATTCCTTTTTGAAAACACAAATTGCTCAACGTGGCAAGAGAAATCCTCTTGAATGTATTCTATGAACTCTCCCCTACTTTAATCTCAGTATTGCCAAACTTTTTAGTTCCTTGTACTATATTTTTATGTTTCTATACCTTTGCTCTTGTTTCCTTCTGAAACATCCTTCTCCATCTTCTTCACTTGGCTAACTTTTACATGTCATTTAACAACTCCTTAGATATTCTATCTCCAGAAAGCCTTTTTGGATTCTCTTAGGCTAGAATTTCCCATGGTATTCTGGAAACATCTCTAGCACTGTAATTTCTATTGGCTTCTTGATGAGGATATTCTCTCAAGAATGTGAGCTCACTGAATCTCCTACCCTTAGCATTGTACCTGGCACATAGCAGACACTCAGTGAAGGTTTACTGGCTTAAGTAAATAATTATTTTGTACCTTGTTGATAGCAGGATAACATCCTCTGAATGATTTCTGGTACTGGTATGCCTAGGTAGATGGACAGCTGATGGTAATCAAGGGAGATATTCTCAATGGGATTCTCCTTCACTTTGTCAATATCTTCTTGCTTCATTCCAAGGCGCAGAAGAATATCTGAAACTTTTTTCCAAATTGAATTGAATTGTGACTCAGTGAGACCATTCATCAAAATCTCACTAAGGAGGATATCCCTGTATTTGCACAGCCTCAGGATGTCTGCAGACTTAGAGAGATCAGAAGATGGTGGTTCCATATTCCAGCCTTTTTTGGGTGCAGGGAACACATTCAAATGTTTTATGAGAGCTAATAGGAGGTATAAGTCAAACTGTTTGGACTGTGGCAGCTCCTTGTTTGGGGGATAAAGCAGATGCCATGCTCCACCCAAAGGGTGATTGGTCCAAAGATGGTTGTAGTAGGGTTCCAATACATTCTTGTGTATAAGAAGCTCTTTTTTCAAAAGAGGGGGTGGCATAGCCTCATCAAATATTTGCCGAACAATGTCAGTACCAGAAACAATAATTATATGAAGCAGATGATAGAAATAATTATAATCAAGTTTGAAGATAGGCATTTCATCTGAAAATGAATTTTGAGAAGTCAAAAGATTCCACATTAATGCTCTTTTTCTATGTGATTTCTTGCATTACATCCTAAGCTCCTGTAGGACAGGCACTATTCCAAAAGAATGAAGTACAGTACAGTGCTTTGTCACAGCCAGTGCCCAACAGGCATGCTGCTATCTGTCTAGCTGTCAAAAAATCAGAACAAAAACAGTATGTTCCAAGTAAAAGTAATCACAAAAACTAATCACTATAGAAGGCTTTCAACCATCCAGGGTTTTGTTCAAATAAATGAGCTTTGGCCACCAAATGGCATAAAATTATTAAGCCTTTGAAAATTCTGAAGACTGTCAAGAATGGTAACTGCCAGTGTTTATTTATACTTTACTTAGGCAATTATATTTTATCTTAATCAGCATTGCCCAGTAAAACTTTTTGTGATGAAAATATTTTAGATTTTCACTGTCCACTAGCCACTGAACAGTGGAAATGCTGCTTGTCTGACAAAGGAACTGAGTTTGAAACTTTATCTAATTTTAATGAGTTTAAATTTAAACAGCCACATATGGCTAGTGACTACTGCATTAGACAATGCAGAACTATAGCAAGAAACATAAAGTGATTTAATGCCTTGCTTCTCAAAGTACAGTCCACTGGCCAGCAGCAGCAGCAGCCACATGGGAGCCTGCTAGATATACAGAATCTCAGGTCTCACCCCAGAGATACTGAATTGGCACCAACATTTTAACAAAATCACAGATGATTCAAATATATATTAAAGTTTGAGACACACTGATCTTATGAACCTCTTTTTCTTATCCTTTCAAAAAATAAATGAATGATTAAGTAGGTATTTCATCAATGAAATGGAATAAGGCATAAGACTGAACTATTTGATATTTTTCTGGTTTAGTAGCACTTCCCAAAGAGGAAAGTAGACTGAGGTGAATTAGAAAGTAATAAGAATTTGGTATATGATGGTATATTTTTTAAACTAATAAAATATGTGTTTATTATAAAGCGCAACTTTATTATTTTATCCTTCATGATTTTGTGTTTCAAAAGATTTTTAAAGTAATATTCTTGTTTGATATACTTGACATAAACTGTGGAGGCAAACAAGGTTACAAAGCAAATGACTCAAGGAGCCTTCTCTGGGCTGCCAAATAAGAAGCTGGCTAGGATCAGGGACATCCATTCTCCCTAGCAAGAAGGAATGCCACCAGACTACTCTTCCATGGGTCCAGGAGCCCTTAAGCTCTCCAAGTGCTGAGCAGCTGGCATCTCCTAGCACACTCCTAAAGAGCTGGCACCTAAGTTTAGACTACTTGGCCTTGAGCCCCAAATGTTCATTCTTTCCATTTCACCCTTTTAACAGGGAATGCAACAAGTGAGGATTTGGTAGGGAACATCAGCTGAAGCTCAATCTGTGTAGTCACAGCTATGCACCAAACCCAGCAAACCTCTCTATAGATGCAAGGTAATGTGATACCCATACACCTGCTGATCTTTCTGTCCATGAATTCCAGCCTACACCAAGTGATGTTTGTTAGTATAAACCCAAGCCCAGCAAATGACAAACTCAAAGAAACACACGGTTGCTAATGGCATGATACTTTACAGAGCAAGTCAAAATTTTTAACACAGTTTTCAACAGGAGACATATGAAAGTAAAATATACCTTTTGTACCAAATTTTAAACTGATCTTCGGTCTTATATCGCTATCATCTATTTTCAGAGACATCAACTTTTTATAACTGCAAATGGAAAAAAAATTAGGTTAAAAAAGTCAGTCAAGATTTCTAGTATCAGCATGGCTAAGTCAGTGAGCATTTTCTTCTCCTCCTTCTGGAAATAACTTAAAAGCAAAGGAGAAAAATAAATAAACAAATAAAAAACACCAACAGTAACAACCCTACATTGCCACTTTCATTAGAAGTCGGAGGCAAGTAGAATTGCTAGATTTCATACAAAAAGAATCACATGACTAGCTTATTTGCAAGAAGACTATTTGGTAGTAGGAAAAAAGAAATCTTTGCACTGTAGAAAGGCAGCAAATATGGAACTCCTCCCAGACCCTCCTCCACCACAGTATCTTCTTACCAATAACTATTCCAAGAAAACTCAACTCATTTAATGACTAGTGATTAAAAGAGAAAGAAAGAAACTGGCATAGCATCAATACAAATAATTAGAAAAAAATTGAGGGAAAAGTAGCAAAATTTATTAAATAGACTAAACACTAAGTAAATGCTGCTATGAAACAGATGAAAAAACTTGTGGCTTGGCTTTGAAATGAACTCTCCCACAGAAAACAATACAAAAAAAAAAAGGGACAGAGATGTTGGTTTGGTGGTGGTTGTTGTTAACTGATTTTATATCCAGCACCAGCATATCACTGCTAATCAGCTACTACATTGAAAACACTTTAAACTCTAACAATATAAAGTACTGGCAAAGATACTGAGTAAAAGGAATTCTCCTACACTGAAAGTGGGAGTGTAAATTGATAAAAGCACTGTGGGAAACAGTTCAGCCATACCAATCATGGAGCACATCCTACAGCTTACATGGGCAAAGGAGCAAATTTCGCACTTCTGCCTAACTCTTTTTTTTTTTTTTTTTTTTTTTTGCGGTATGCAGGCCTCTCACTGTTGTGGCCTCTCCCCCATTGTGGAGCACAGGCTCTGGACACGCAGGCTAAGCGGCCATGGCTCACGGGCCCAGCTGCTCCGCGGCATGTGGGATCTTCCCGGACCAGGGCACGAACCCATGTCAGGCAGACTCTCAACCACTGTGCCACCAGGGAAGCCCTCTAACTCTTAAGCACAGTCTCCAGTCCCACTTCTCTGGGAAATATGGCTATAGATGGCCAGTCGGTACAGAGCACATACTATGGCCCACTCAGACAAGGGAGCAAATTTGAGCTCTCACCCCTCTGGGAAGCATGCCCACATATACCTAGCAACCACGAAGCACATCCTACAGCCTGCCTGGGCAGGGCGTCAAGCCAGTTGCCATACCTAACTATTGAACATAGCCTCTGGCCCTGGATAATCAGGAAGCCAGAACAGTGACCCTGAGTAGCCTCAGAGCCCAGCCTAAGGTATTTCCAGTTGCAGAACCCAGCCTAACACCTAATGCAGCAGCAGAGCCCAGATACAGCCCTGATGAATGCTACCTATGTAATCACTCAAGCAGGGAGCCCAGCCAGTAACCTGCCCAACATCAGAGGACAGCCTCTGGTCCCATTACGCCAAGGAATCCAGACAGCAACCCTGACATTTTATGCCCCACCAAAATGTGAGGTACAGCTGAAGGCCATACCTCACCCAAGAGCAGAGCACAATGAACAACCTATCTGATTGTAAAGTCCATCCTGTGGTCCTGCCCAACTTTGGGGCACAGCCTGTGGCCCTGCCTGATTGCAAAGTACAGCCTAACATCTCATCTGACCATGAAGCCTGGACTGTGGCCCCACCTGAATGTAGAATCCAGCCACTATTTCCATCTGCTCAGGAAGCACACCTTGAAGTCCCACCTGACCAGGAACAATTACAGAGCATGGCCTGAAATCCTGCCCAATCACAGAATCCAACCGGTGACAACACCCAGTCAGGGCAAAGACTGTGAATGTGCCCAACCAGAGGTGATTACAGAACACAGCTAGTAACGCCACCTGACCACAGCATAGCCATCAGCCCAACTTGACCTGGGAGCCCACCTAGCAACCCCACTTGAACATGGAACCCAGCCACCAGCCCCACCCAACAGCACCCCACCCCCAACCTCAGAGCACAGACTGTGGCTTCACAGAAGTAGGAAACCCTATGGGAAGTTCTATTTACCTGTAGATGCTACCAGCTGATTGGTGAAGGTCCTTCCCTGCCAAAACAAACCTGTAAACTCTGCAAGTGGAGACCATGTACTCCAGTGTGCAGATACCAATGCAAGTATACAAAGATCATGAAGAATCAAGTAATATGATGCCACCACAAGAAACTAATAAACTTCCAATAAGTGACCCTAAAGAAATGGAGATCTATAGACAGTGCAAAGAATTCAGAATAATCCTATGAAAGAAGTTCAGTGAACTACAAGAACACACAAACAACTAACTGAAATTAGGAAAACAATGCATGAACAAAATTAAAAGGTCAACAAAGAAATAGAAACCATAAAGAAAAAAAAACCCTCAGAAGTCCTAAAGTTGAAGAATACACTGACTGAACTGAAAAATACAATAGAGAGCTTCAACAACAGACTTGATCAAGGAAAAGAAAGAATCAGTGAACTCAAAGACAGATAATTTGAAATTACCCAATCAGAGGTGGAAAAAGAACAAAGAATGAAACGAGTAAAGAAAGATTACGGGATGCATGGGACAACAATAAGAGAAACAATATATTAGTATGGTAATCCCAGAAGGAGAAGAGAAAGAGAAAGGGATGGAAAGAGTATTTAAAGAAATAATGTCCCTTTCCCAAACTTAAGGTGAGAAATGGACATCCAGATTCACAAGGCTCAAAGGACCACAAATGGGTTGAGCCTGAAAAAGACTACATTGAAATGCATTATAATTAAACTGACAAAAGTGAAAGACAAAGAGAGACCTTTGAAAGTAGAGAGAAAAGCAACATTCCCTTGAAATCAGTCTTGGCAATGATTTTTTTAATTTGATATCAAAAGCACACGCAAAAATAAATAAGTGGGACGACATCAAACTAAAAAGCTTCTGCACAGTGAAAGAAACAGTCAACAAAATGAAAAGGCAACCTACAGAACAGGAGAAAACATCTGCAAATCATACATCTGATTAGGGGTTAATATCTAAAATATATAAGTAAGCCATACAATTCAACAGCAAATAAATAATCCAATTAAAAAAGGCAAAGAACCTGAATAAACATTTTTCCAAAGAAGATATAAAATGGCCAACATGTACAGGAAAAGATGCTCAACATCACCAATCATCAGAAAAGTGCACATCAAAACTACAATGAGATATTACCTCACACCTGTTGATAGAGCCACAAGGGGAAACAGTATAGAAGTTCCTCAAAAAATTAAAAATAGAATTGATCCAGCAATCCCACTTCTGGGTATATATTATATGTCCAAAGGAAATACGATCTCTGTCTCAAAGAGATTACACCCCCATGTTCACTGAAGCATTATTTACAATAGCCAAAACATGGAAAACAACTTAAGTGTCTGTTAATGGATGAATAGATAAAGAAAATGTGGCATATATATACCATGGAATACTACTCAGCCATAAAAAGGAAATCCTGCCATATGTGATAACACAGATGAACTTGGAAGGCATTATGCTAAGTGAAAAAAGCCAAACAGAGAAAGACAAATACTGTATGATCTCATTTATATGTGAGAGCTAAAAAACCCTGAACTCAGAAACACAGAGTAGACTGGTGGTTGCCAGGGGTGGGGGTGGGGGGTGGGAAATAGGTAAAGGGGTCAAAAGGTACAAACCAGGGGTCCAAAGTACAGCATGTGACTACAGTTAATAATGCTATATTGTATACTTGTAAGTTGTTAAGAAAGTAGATCTTAAAAGTTCCCATTGGGGCTTCCCTGGTGGTGCAGTGGTTGAGAGTCCGCCTGCCGATTCAGGGGACACGGGTTCATGCCCCGGTCCAGGAAGATCCCACATGCCACAGAGCGGCTGGGCCCCTGAGCCAGGGCCGCTGAGTCTGCGCGTCTGGAGCCTGTGCTCCGCCATGGGAGAGGCCACAACAGTGAGAGGCCCACGTACCGCAAAAAAAAAAAAAGTTCCCATCACACAAAAAATCTATGTGAGGTAATGGATGTGTTAACTAAACTTATGGTGGTAACTGTTTCATATATACATATATATAAAATCATCATGTTGTACACCTTAAACCTACACAATGTTATATGCTAGTTATAGCTCAATAAAGCTAGAAATTAAAAGACCAGCAGCAATATGAAAAACTAAATAGATTATGACCAATTGCTATTTATTCTTGGAAAGCAAAGTTGATTCAACATTTGAAAATAAATTGATGTAATTCAACATATAACAGATTAAAGAAGAAGAAAACCATATGATCGTCTCAATGCATGCAGAAAAGCATTAGTTCACTATCCATTCATGATAAAAATTTTCAGAGAAGTAGGATGAAAAAAGAATCTCTTCAACCTAAAAAAGGGTATCTGTAAAAATTCTACAGCTAACAGCATATTAAATGGTGAAAAACTGAAGACTTCTTCCTAAGATCTAGAAAAGGCAAAGACGTCTGCTCTCACAAGTGTATTCAACATTGTACTAGAGGATGTAGACCATGAAATAAGTAAGGGAAAATAAACAAAAAGCATATAGATTGCAAAAAAAGAAATAAAGTTGTCTTTATGTATAGATGACATGACCTTTAGTAGAAAACCTCAAAGAATCTATAAAGGATATTAAAATTATTAATTATCAAGTCATAGGATACAAGATCGACACAAATCAATTCTGTATAACACAAATAACTAGAAATTGAAATTTTAAAATTATCATTTGCAATAACATAAAAAGTCAAATATACATGGATAATCTAACAAAATATTTATAAGATTGTAGAAATAAGACTATATACACAGAAGACTACAAAACATTCCTGAGAGGCATCAAAGAAGACTCAATTAAGTGAAATTCATTATACACCATCTTCACGGATGGGAAGTCTCAATATTGTTAAGATGTAAATCATCCCCAAATTGATCTACAAATTCAATGCAATCAAAATCTCAGCAAGAAGTCTGGAGAAATTTATAAGGTGTTTTTCTAAGATTTATCATGTAATAGCAAAGGATCTAAAATTTAAAAACAGTTTTGAAAATTTAAGCGAATGCAAATTAAAACCACAATAAGATACCATTACACATCTTTTAACATGGCTGAAATGTTTAAAATTGATAATACCAAGTGCTGGAGAGAATGCAGAGAAACTAGAATTCTCTTATGCTGGTGAGAATGACAAAATGTACAGCTACTTTGAAAACAGTTTGGCAGTTTCTTATAACATTAAACACATACCATGTGACTCAGCAATCCTGCTCCTAGGAATTTATCCAAGAGAAATGAAAGCATATATCTATACAAAGAGTAACACATGAATATTTATAGCAGCTTTATTTATAACAGCCTAAAACCAGAAACAACACAAATGTCATCAACTGTTAAATGAATAAATAAGTTATGGTACATCTATACAAAGGAAGACTACTCAACAACAAACAAAAATGAACTACTGATACATGCAATAACAAGGATGAATTTCAAAAGCATTATGCTAAATTTAAAAAAATCCAGATGCAAAAGGCTTTCCTACTAGAGGATAGTCAGAAAAAAGCAATATTAATCAGAACAGAAATCATATCAGTGGTTACCACGGTTTGGAAGTTGGAGGGGGAATGACTATGTAAGAGATTTTAGAGAAACTTGGGATGATGGAAATACTCTCTTGATCATGGTAGTGGTTACTCAGCTGTATAAAAATAAAATCATTTAAAATGTATATTTTTAAAAAGTGAACTTTACTGTATATGAGCTATAGCCTGAAAAAGTGACCTATAAAAAAATTCAGTGTTTAGAAATGCATTTATAATTAATACATTTATCAAGAAAGCAAGGAGATGATTACTGTGAAGGTCAGGATGACAGTTACCTAGGTAGAGGATGAGCTGGGGGAGAGGGGAACAGTGAGTGCTTCTGGGGTGCTGACAAAATTCTATATGGGTGGAGCCACAAGACTGTCTGCTTCATAATTCGTTTTTAAACTCTGCATTTATATTTTGTGAGCTTTTATTTATGCATATTTTAACAATAAAGCATTTTAATGTTAAAAACCAAACTTTTTTGTCATTCATTCACAAAACCTCATGAGGTAGCTCTTCCACTTTTGGTTATAAGGTCCAATTATCAGAGGGTTTTCCCACAGAAAATAACTATAAAACTTAGGCAAATTACAAAAAGCAACTCCTTGAAGGCACAGAGAGCAGAGAAACAAACCAACTCTGCCGTAGGGGGTATATGCTTGGGGAGAAGAGAAGAAGAATGTATGAAATTAAGTTCACCAATTTTAGAGCTTTGAGCCTGAGGCTAAGTATACCATGGTAGAAAACAAAGGTCTCCTTGGCTGAAGGAACCAGAAAATTGAAGCCATGGAACCATGGCTGCTGAAGAGTGTGGGGGAATCCCAGAAAGGAAAGTCAGAAAAGAGATCCCCCAATTTTTTCCGGCCACATCTCTGACTGACCGCTGAACCATATGTGTGGAACAGACTCAAAGTAGCTCAGCTAAAGGCTGAAGTTCTGAATTGAGACTGGAACCACCATCCAAGGAAAACAGGTTCGCAGTTCATCTCCAAATAAGTTAATTGCCTGTCAAACAAAAGTAACATACTCATTGTAGAATAATGGAAGTTAGAATCTCTACATCTGTCATGTATTTATTGGGTACCAGCTATATGCCAGGCATTAGGTTATGTACTGGGAATATAGCAGTAAGCAAGTTAAAGTTCTTGCCCTCAAGGAGGCTATAGTCAAATGGAGAAGAGAGCCTAGAAAGTGTAACAGAACTTAGTAAATGTTTTAATAGGAGAAGTGAAGGGAATATGTGATTGAAACACCTAATGCAAAGTAAAAATGACTTTCTGGAAGTTTTAACCAGGCAAAGCCAAAGGAGTGGCATATTCTAGGCAAGTCCTAGAGGTAAAACAGATGGCACACTTAAGAACTAAAAGAAGCTCAGCATAGTTGGTGTATATATAGTAAAAAAAAGAATGACAAGAGATGACACTAGTGAGTACAGCAGGGACCAAGGTGACTGAAGAGCCAAGCTAACAAGCCTGAACTTAATTGAGAGCAATGAGAAGCCTCTGAAAGATTTTCAAGCAGAGAAGTGAAATATTTCCATTTTTTTTTAGAAAAGTGATTTTGATGGCTGAACAGACTGTTCAATAGACTTGAACAGTCAGACTGAAGAAAGGTAAGACTGGAGACAAAAAGACGGGGTTAGAAGCTGTTTCCGAATTCCAAATAAAAGAGGGAGGAGATATGGGGATATATGTATACATATAGCTGATTCACTTTGTTATACAGCAGCAACTAACAACACTGTAAAGCAATTATGCTCCGATAAAGATGTTAAAAAAAAATTAAATAAATAACTTTAGCTTAGTGGAAGCACAGGGACAGAAGCAAGGAGGCATGTACAATATATTTAAGGAGTTGAATTGACTGGACCTTAAAAAAGTTACAGAGCAACTGTAACTGGGAAGAAATATTGTGAGTCTAGTTGTGGGCCTACTGAACTATAGATCTTTTTGAAAAATAAAAATGGAAATTTTTAGCATGCAGGTAGACAGACCTAGATTTTTAAGAGTGAGATCTACAGCAGAGATAAAGATTTGGGTTTCATTAGCTCATAGGGAAAACTTAGATATCAATGTAATAACACTGGTAGATTAAAAAAATGGTAGACATTTTAAGCAGAAGAAAAGAGAATCAATGGATTAGTGGAGAATCAATGGATAAGTTTTATATTGAAATTTCTAATTTCAATAGCAACAGTCTATACCTCTATGAATTCCCAACTTATATTATATATTCCTCTGCAATAAAGCTTTCTCATCTAAGAAACAGGATGATTCTAATTGTCAGACAAGCCTGGAGGCTTGAATGAGTTTTGAAAGCTAGGAGAAAGTTTTTATATCATAACAATCTAATTTAAATAACTTTAAGAAAAATACATTTAGTTTTCAGGAAAGGATTCTTTTCATACTTAAGGGAAAAGTATTCACATTTCCATTTTCCTGCTTTAGAATTTAAAAGTCTACAAAGTGGGGGGCAAAGGGGTAGACAAATGTCAATTAAATACAATTTTTTCACACAACTGATACTGTCTTTAAGTTTAATGGAGCTCCAGAAAGTAACAGAAAACACAGAAGAAAGGAGCAACTGAAAAATACATACATGCTCAAAAAAAAAGAATATTTAATTTCAAGCTTACCTTGCTCCTAAATTTTCAATGGTTATATATTCATCCTTTCTCACAACTTCAAACTGCAAGTGATGAAAAAAAAATAGCCCTAAAGTAGTTCAATTTTCAAAATTCTTTAATGTTACTTCTTAGCCTTAATATTTGAAAGAAAACAATGAGAACGAAGCTATAGTGAATATAAAACAAATAAAACAGAAGAAACAAGCTATAAACAATCTTAATCAAATAAACTAGAGTTGGTCTTAAAAACTAGTTCTACTTTATATCACTATAGGATTTAAATGTCAAATCTAAAATACAAGAAGACCATACTAAACATTAAAAAATATATATATTCCTATTTATAATTCTGGTCTGTTTACTAATTAACTGAAAATTCAACAAGATATTTCATTAATTAAAAAAATTAAATGGATACCATTTAAGTGCATTTTATGTAGCAGCAACTCTATGAGATGTTCTATAGATATTTTTATAGGAAGATGCTTAGAGACGAAAAAAGGGTTCAGAAAATCTAAAATTATTTTTAACCATAGGTGGAACAGAATTAGATTATCATCCTTTGTTCATGATAATGACTTTCCTCACTGCTACAGCTATAGCCTGCTTGTCTGTTTCTGTTTCTGTGTGTGTATGTGTGTGTGTCTTTATTTTTAAAATTTTCTTATTCTTAAGTACCACTTAAATACTACTTTGGAGAAATCAATGCAATAAAAAGGTTAGAGAGCTTAGTCCCATCAAAGAGAATATGGCTAGAATACTACTACTGCAATTCCCAAATCTGTTTGAAGTCAAAAACATCATTCCAGTGAAGGAAAGCAAAAAAATAAGAGAAAGATACTCACCAAAATTTTGACAATTCCAGGTACCTCACATTGCAGCATCCTTATCATGTCACCTGTACATCCTTCCTTCAAACATTTTTTCCCACTAAAACTCTAAAGTTATCAATAGAAAAACCCCCAATAAGTTATCAATAGAAAAAAATAATACAAACAATAAAAATAGAAAAAAACCTGCTGATGTGCAAGACTGATTATATTTAAATAAAGTTAGAAGCAGATGTTGCTAGACAGTAAAAAAGATGTGAATAAACATTTGAGAGTTAGCTGTTCAAAGATAGTCCATTTCTTATACCAATGGATTTCCTATTTAAAATTTATGACTACATTTTTCTCTCTCATCATTTCTACTTCAAAATCTTCAAATAGTTATATTACAAACTAAAATGTATTTGCTGCCCCCAATAAAAGCAACTTCAAGTAAAATATACTAATTAAGTAAGTGCAAAAAGGAATACTGAATTTCTGTTAGATATATGAGGATTCCAGGGAAAACGAATTTGAGTCCTTTTTCTGATTCTGACCTTGTTATTTCCTCTGGTTAAGTTACTTAGTTTTCTTTTACATCTCTTTCTAAAGTTGAGCAAAATGGATTGCCCTAATAATCAAAGAAAGTGAAAAGTATTTACACACTGCTTAAAAAGTGAATAATAATGTTTATATAATGATTTTTACAATGTACAATGCAAGTTTATCTGTTTTACCTGTTAATCCTCATAACAAACTTATAAAGTAGGTATTACTATCTCACTATATGGCTTAGAAAAATGAGTTTCAGCCTAGTGCAAAGAAAACTAGCAAGTGGCTCAATCTGGACTTGAACTCAGAACTCTCAACTTCATATACAGTGCTCTTTCTATTCCACCACAATTCCTTTATAAGTGTTTTCTGCTGTTTGCACAATGTAAACACTCTAGAACCAAACATTATAGACCCAACTTATGGCCATTACCTCACTAAAGACTAATTAATATAGAATTGGGCTTTCGATTTCTACTTTAATTTTAGCAGCAAAGAATTCAATTTAGTTATATGACTTTAGGCAAATATAAATAATACAAATATATTTTGGGTTGTTTTGTTTTGTCTTGTTTTTTGCTGTTTTGTTTGTTTGTTTGTTTGGCTGTGCTGCATGGCTTGAGGGATCTTAGTTCCCTGACCAGGGATCTAATGCCATCCCCGGCAATGAAAGCGCCAAGCCCTAACCACTGGACTTCCAGGGAATTCCCAATACTACAAGGATAGTTCTGGAGACTATAAATTTATCACTGTTCTCTACCCTTAAAATAGAAACTATCCTTAAAATTATATAGTTGTCCTTTCTTTTTATTAAGTGATTCTATTTATGTCCTTTATGTGAATATACGTAACAATATTTCTATTCTTAAGAGTATAAACTTCTAAAGGGAAGAGAACAAATTAATAGAAATCAATAAGCAAAGCAACTAGCAGAGTATTTCCTACAAAGACCTGTTTAATAAATGGTGATGATGAACAAATAGTGAGGAGAAAAGCATCAGAGAGAATAGGAAAAAAAAAAAATGAAGGGAGAAAAAAAGAGGAGGAAGGATGTGATCAGGAAGAAATGAAGAGGAAAGAGGGAAAACAGAGGAAAGAGTAGAGGAGGATATGTTGTAGTAAAGTTTTTAAGGAAGAACAAATATAATACCTGATCATTTTCACCTGGATATTTTAAATTCTTGAACTTTTTCCAACAAATTTTATGGAAGTAAACACAACAGCTTTTGCTGCACATTAACTGAAAAAATCCCTGGAAAAGAATAAAAGCTGCTGTTAAGAAATAATAATCCATGTAGATATAGAAAATACCACCTTAAGTCATTTTTTAAATTATTCTATAACTAAATGAGCTCTAGATGGCATTGAAAATTTATCAACAGATCACTGGTAATCAAAGAACTATACAAGTCATTTTTATATCACTAAAGACAAAAAAATAGGCAATAATTTGAATAAGTTAATGTAATATTTTCCGTATGCTGTATACAACAAAATATCAGAAACTTGGTAAGTGATCTTTGTAGATGAACATGCTGTCTGCCCCACTTCACCTCAACTTTTACATTTCTCTTTTCTTTCAGCCCCAATTCCATACCATTATTCCCCAAAACTTCTTTGTCACCAATCACCAGACCTTAGATTGCTATCTTAGTGAGAAATGGCTCCTGAGCTACTGCATTATCCCAAGGTATAGATTTCTTGTCTTTCCTAGTGTGCCCTCCCTGGGAACCACAGTCCTGCTTCCTTTAAATAGGTACACTGCTTAGATGACAAAAATCTAAATTTTGTGACCAAGACTTTCTGCTGCTACATGCTACCCATTTGACTAGAACCCTGATGCCTCCCTGGGAAACCACAGGACCATATTCACCATGTCACTGAAACCAGGACTGACCCTGACCTGCCCCGAGCACTGCACTTCACCAGGCCTACACTTCCCAATATCCATCTTACCCTAATGAATAGATCTTGGCTTTCTCCTCCTTCCCATCTACGCCATTTGCTCTATACATCATGCTTTTCAACTCAGATTTCCAGTCTTGTAGAAGTAGTCAGATTTACACTGATGATCACATCTCAGCCTATCTTGTGATTTTCCACAGTCTTATTCTGATACATCCAGGGAGAACTAGACTTGAAGTACTTTGATTGTTAAATTTCTTCAAATCAAGGTTGGTTATGTGTATGTGTGTCCCACCCAAGGCCCGTAGAAGAAATAATGATCCTTACTTAGTAATGTAATTCTTGAGGAGTGACAACCTTTCTCCTTAGTAAAATGCTAATATTCTCAACCTGTAACATTTTTAACTATAAAGAATATTTTAGATAATTTCCATTATATGATTACAAGAAAATTTATTATAACTTCAGAAACTTGTGAATATACAAAAACCCTAGCAAAGCCAATTCATTCTTTTACTGGCTCAAAGGATATAAATATTTCCTGATCACAGTGAATCTAACCTCTGAGACATTCAAACAACTTCTCAACTGCATTATCTCTGTAATTAAACTAAGTACTTTTTAAACAATATTTTGATGCATGATAATATAATAATTTTTATTTAAGTTTAACTTCACAATCACATTTTTAAAATACTCAGTTAATTGGTAATTATAGTACCTTATAATTGGTGTTCTTTAAAATGTCAGCTTCACAAGATCGCTCACAATCTAGATAACTGCAAATGGTCCGCTTCATTATATTACCCTCAGTTGTCTTGATGAAATTGTTAAGAAGGTCCTAAATTTTTAAATAAAAATAAATCTCATGAATCAGTAATAAAAAGACTACAACACTTATCTTACCTTAAGTTATATGTCCATTTCATATCCTTTTTTGAAGGTGTTGTATATATATTTTTTAAATAGTTATAGAACCTATTTCCCTCATTCAAAGTAAACAATACATAGAAAGGCCCTAAATAAGAAATACTACACTTCTTATTGAATACAAACATGGAGAAAGGACAAAAGTCTATGTTCAAAGCTATATGTCTACTCTTCATTCTAACTCATAACACCTAGCATGTTCCTAACAAGAATTACTTGCTCTGATATAAATACAGAGAGACAACAAATCATTGGAAACCCAAGAGAGTCCTTGCTAGAACTGGCCCCCAAGACACCATGTTGGCAGTGGAACTACTGTAGTGGTGCAACAGGCTGCTCAGCCAGAAGGGGCAGAGGCAGGGTACAGAAGTATGTTTCCAGTGTTCAGAGTTACAATTTGGAATGCAATTTCCATATTTTAAAATGCTAGTTAAAGGTTTGTGAAACACGTTATCAAGTCTAAGTTAAACAGGTCCTTAATACTGTCCCTTAGAGAGACATACCCATATATATTGAGGGTATAAGACATGATAAAATAAACCTCTACAGACTATTTTACAAATCAAGTCATCATTCATAACATTTGTTTAATGGCATTCAGAATTTTATGAGGAATAAAAATGTTTTGACCAAGTTGACTAGAAAATTTTAAGTATCAAGAGAGAAATAAAGAAGCAGAGTTCAAGGACCTATCAATATGAAAATAGTATATCCTGTGAGGATAACCAATAGTCAAATGGAGATGCTGAAAACAAAGGGATAGGACTCATAGTAGGTATATAACTACTGTGGTTTCACAAATCTGACACTTAATAGTTCAATATTGATCTGTTGAGTCTCCTACCAAAGTCTGTTCCTTGTTCCTTACTCCGCATCATCTGCCTCAGTCACTGATATTCACTCATTCAATAAATATTTACTGAGTGCCTGTTATGGGCCAGGTTGTTATGAATGTTAAGGGATGTCAAGGATACAGCAGTGAACTTAGCAGGTTAATACTTAGTCCTCATGGGACTTACATCAATTTCATCTACCACAATCTATTGAGGTTCAAGCGGGTAGTCTTGAAGTCATCCATTGTATAATTATTCCATCACCCTGTACAAGCAATATATTAGCAAGTACTGTTGAGTCTTCTCCCAGAATATACTGAAAATTTTTCTAATTCTCTCTCCATTTCTACCACTCTATGTCTCACCTACATTACTGACAATGACAACTGTCTAACTGGTCTGCCTCTTCCTTGCCTACTGTGTTCAAAACACTCTCTGCAAAAAAACAAAAGATTATTGTCAGTTCCTTGCTTAAAACTCTTCAATGGCTTCCCACTACCTAAAACAAAATCCAGAACCCTTACCAAGACTGACTGCAAGGTCCTGCAGAACCTGCAGAATCTGAACCCAGTACACCTAGCCATCTCTGGTCCATCTCTTCACATTCATCTCTAGCCTCACTCACTATAAAATTCATGATTTTATATTCAAAGTTGCACTTCAAGGCCTGAGGGCCTTTCCACATTCAATTCTGTTTACCTAGAATGCTCTTACCCAACTCTTTACAGAGCTAGTTCCATTCTCAACCTTCTGCTTCCAACTTAAATATCACCTCCCAGATAGGCCTTTCCTAACCACTACACATAGATACACATACACATTTATGCATATATACATATAGACAAATATGGATATATGCAGGTATACAAGTGTATGTCTGTGTTCTCTATTTTCTCTGTCCCAGTCCCTTGTTTTTCTTTAGAACACTAACTACAATTTGTAACTATTTTATTAATATTTTTTTTACTTTCTAACTCCTCCCTTACCATAAATACAGAAACTCTTCAAAGTCCTAAATTCTACAAGTCATATTTTACTATAATTTGATTATAACATCCCACTGTTTAAAAGTTTTGAGGGGGTTTCACATGACCCTCAAGATACAGTCTGAGCTCCTTACTTGGTTTATAAAGCCTTACATGATCTAGCTAACATTACCTTTAACATTTACCTCTAAAATTCATGAAAAAAGGACAGGATATTATTTTTTTTAAAAAAAGCAACATTCATAACAACAAGAAAACTCTTGGTAGATGATAGCTGAAATATTGAAATCATTGAAATAAAAAATTCAATAGAAGGATAGAAACAAGGGTAATGCTGAAAATAATAACAATATGAAGGGACATTCCCCTGCTAGGGTGCCAGCAACTCTAGGAGTACAATCTTCCCCCCAACAGGGTGAGTTCATCTAAGGAGACATATGAGGATAGGAGCAACTGGGGCAGGGCAGGCCTCTGGTGGTAGTCACCTGAAACTCCTCAGTGCCAGATAAAGAGGTAAAGGCCAGCCCTCTAAGTTTTCTTAAAGAAAAACTAATCACAGTGTTTGGGAAGTAGGACTTTTGGTGGGCTGACAGGCATAGGCACCGCTTATAACAGATTAAGAACATGCTGGCCTAGAGCCAGAGCACGATCATGGAAGCACTCTGCTCTACTGGACATTAAACCTTTAGCTATTGGATTTTAACTTAAGAAGTGTGGAGAGAGAGGGCTGGAGGAGAGTCCAGGGCATCTGGAATGGTGGCTGGTTACCCAACTATTTTTGAAGCAGCCACTATTTTCCAAGCAGTATGGAAATACTTTAACATTGTAAGAACTAATATGGGGCTTCCCTGGTGGCGCAGTGGTTGAGAGTCCGCCTGCCGATGCAGGGGACACGGGTTCGTGCCCCAGTCTGGGAAGATCCCACATGCCGCGGAGCGGCTAGGCCCGTGAGCCATGGTCGCTGAGCCTGCGCGTCTGGAGCCTGTGCTCCACAACGGGAGAGGCCACAGCGGTGAGAGGCCTGCGTACCGCAAAAAAAAAAAAGGACTAATATGATAGCACTAGTGCATACTGGCTGAATATTAGCTCTATGCAAAAAAGATGAAGTTAAGAAAATATCCTAGAAAGTAGAACAAAAAGACAAAAGATTAGGGACTTCCCTGGTGGTCCAGTGGTTAAGACTCCATGCTCCCAATGCAGAGGGCCCTGGTTCGATCCCTGGTCTGGGAACTAGATCCCACATGCCGCAACTAAAGATCCCACATGCCGTGGAAGACCAGGCACAGCCAAATAAATAAATAAATATTTTAAAAAGAAAAGACAAAAAATAAAAATTAGCAAAGAAATAAGAAAACCAGAAATTCAGTCCAGGATGTCAAGTATCTAAATAAAAGGCATTTCAAAAAGAAAAGAGAAAATGAAGAAGAAATCATCAAATAAATAAAAAAAGAAAATGTCCCAGAACCAAAAAACATAAGTTCAGAACACTAGGAATATACAGAATATCCTAAAATTTCCCAGAAAAAAAAAATAGGTCATAACAAAAGATTGATAATCAGAACATCAAATTTCTCAAAAATACTACTGTTGGAAGTTAGAAGATAACAGAAACACAATTTAAAAAATTTAAGGAAAATGATTTTCAACCTACAATTTTATGCCCAGGCAATATATAAATAAAGTGTACAAAGAATAAATTATTTTGAGACTTGAAAGACCTCAAAAAATTTATCTCCCAAGCAAGTACCCTTTTCCAGGAAGCTGCTGGATGAGTTGCACCACCAAATCAAGGGATTATACCTAGAAAGAGGAAAACTTGAGATCCAAGAAATAGAGGATCTACAAAGGAAAGGGGTGAGGGTATTCCCAGGAATAGAGTAAAGGGAAACCCTAAGGCCAACTTAATAAAAACTTATAACTATTAGTAGGATGGGGAAGTGAAGTGTGTTGTGTGAAGGAGATGTATAAGGAAGCTACTAAACCCTCCTCTTCCACAGTGGGAAGTCAAAAGATAATATCTAAGATGGAAAAATTTTTAAATAGCAGTATAGCTTTTTAAAAATACAGGTAAATATCAAAGGAAAATGCCTAGAGGATTGGAAGAAGTTACCCATAGTCAGGAACTACAATTAGAGATGATAAACCACAGACCATTAATTTTTAAGCCTTTTAATATTACTTGAAAAACTGCATACATGTATTACTTTGCATAAAATAAAAATAAGAAAGTTTGGATAAGAAATAAAAATATTTTAAAAGGAGAAGGAAAAAAAGAAAAACAACCAAGACCAGGTAGGGGCTGCTCCAGGTAAACACAGAAATTCAATATTTTTCCAAAATCTATAAAATTACTACTTTATTAGGTCAAAGTTAAAAGTCATATGATTATCCTGGCCAACACCAAAGACTGCCTGCTTATTCTATTGATTACTGGGAGAGGTACATTAAAATATTCCACTGTGACTGGGAAGTCTTCTATTTCTCCTTTTAGTTCTACTAGTTTTTGTCCCAGGTATTTTGAGGCTGTATTATTAGGTATATACAAACTTTGAGTTGTTATAGCTTCCTAGAAAACTGAATTTTTTGTTTTTATAAAACATCCCTCTTTATTTTGAGGAATGCATTCGGCCTTAAAGTCAGCTAAAATATAAGGATCCAGAAAGGTTTAAAGTAAAAGTTTGGAAGAAGATATGTCATTCAAACGCTAACCAAAAGAAGCCGAGTGTAGCTATTTTCATATTAAACAAATAAAAAGTGACCAACATGGCTTATCAGATGAGTAAAAATTACCCAAAAGGTAAAAAATATCCAGAGGGTGTGGAGAAATGGAAACTCTCATAGTCTGTCTTAAGAATATAAACTGGTTACACACTTTCTGGGAGGAAATGTGGAAACATACACGAATAACTGTACAAGTGTATAAACACTTCACAATTCCACCTTTAGAAATTTATACTAAGGGAATGATGTGAGAAATACAAAAAGATCACTTTCCATAATAGTGAAAAACTAGAATGTTTAGGATAAACTAAATCTTCAATAGCAGGGAATTGGTTAAGCAAATTAAAAGCACAGTTTAAGATGGACTATGAAAAAATTATACTATATAATAATCTACTTGCTGGGAAATTCATAATAATATATATTTTCATACTATAAATCAATGTGTATAACATCACACCAATTTACTAAAAATAAAAGGTAAAGAGTGTTTATACATGTGTGTATGGAAAGATATAAATGAAAATACTAACAATGGTTTCTCCATTTGAAGAAATATATGGATGAATTTTACTTTTATCTTTGGTATTTTTACATTTTAAAGTTTTTTAATGTAAGCATTTAGTACTTTTAAAATTTAAATCAACAGCAAAATAATGGTAAATATAGTTAGAAAAAAGTTAACTATTACACTTAGCTGTAGCCATGTGAAGTACTGAACTAGTACAGCTTTTAATCTTGTTATTTGGAAATGCTAACACATCCACCTCATTTCTCTCTACTTGTTGAATCATACTAACATCCTGCACTAGATAATGGAATCAAGGTTGTTGCTCATACAAAAAGCTAATGCCCAACAAAAGAATGTGTTTGCTATAGAATGATATAGTTAACATAAACTGCAGTTTATCAAAGATGATTCTGATTAGCCACAGATGAAATGTTATTCTTAAATAATTTCTTACTTTAAAAGTTGTAGGTAAATCTTCATCTCCCATAGGATCTATGTCAAACCAATGATCATCTGTATCTCCTGTTTCTTGTAAGCTTTTATGAAATTCTAGCAGTCCTGCATTATATCTGCAAGGCATTTTAAAATAGGGTTAGTTTGAACAGGACTCTGTAAGTAGACAGTTTACCAATTAGACAACAAGCAACTCTTTTATTTATTTATTTTTTTGTGGTAAGTAGGATGGTGATAACCTCTGGCATGCTATAGAAATACAAACACTAGGACTCTCACCTGTGGTAGATTGGGATGAAATACATGTGGAAGGGGAGGCAATAGATTATATAGTAGCTCAAGCTTGAACATTATGGGGGCCATGGTAATTAAAGGGACTGTAGAGTTGGTTGGCTTTTTTTTACCGTCTTGGAAGCCTTGAAGAAAGAAAATGGCACAGGTCAGCCAACTATTGACTCTGGACACAACGAAAGACAGAGGCCTCTGAGGGTACCATTTAAAGAGACGCTCATCTCCTACAGACATAAAGATAATCTGTGCTGAAAATCAGGCCCAGATTTAATCACAAAGTGGAACAAACTGCAAAAGAAACCAAATACTCAGCCTCAACAGGACTACTACTATCAACTAAGGATACTCCGTGAAAGTTAAAAGGCCACTTTGGTAACGTTTCAAAAACCTTGACCAACTCTAAACATAAGGCAGACCATGCTGAAAATGAGGCCCAGTATTTAATCACAAGAGTAGAACAACAGCAAAAACCAAAAGCATAGCCTCAACAGAACTACTGTACTATCAGGACTCTGATAGGGAAGAAGTAGACCATGCAAAAATATGATCTGAGGTACATGTCTCAAAAGATGATACTCTTCCTTCTCAAAATCCTCTCTTGGGCTTCCCTGGTGGCGCAGTGGTTGAGAGTCCGCCTGCTGATGCAGGGGACGTGGGTTCGTGCCCCGGTCCGGGAAGATCCCGCATGCTGCGGAGCGCCTGGGCCTGTGAGCCATGGCCGCTGAGCCTGTGCGTCCAGAGCCTGTGCTCCGCAACGGGAGAGGCCACAACAGTAAGAGCCCCGCGTACCGCAAAAAAAAAAAAAAAAAAAAGTCAAAATCCTCTCTTATATCTGCTCATTGCCTACAGACAAAAAAAAATCTAGGATCAAGTATAAGCAAAGCCTAAGTGGGAAAACAGAGGAAGAAAAAGCTTATTCACCATAAGCATTGTAGAACTTGACTACTATGTACCGGCAGGAACATGTCTGGGAGTGGATCTTAAGAGTGCTGAACCCATGGTCAAATATATAGCTTGACAGGGAAATATATATTGATATGGGGCAACTCTTCCATAATTCAGCATTTACTTTCCTAGCAAGGACACCCAAAGCCAGTCCTAACATGCTGCTGAGAAGGCTACTTGAAGCTTGGAAACCACAATGGCCTCTAGTAATTGAGGTGGAAATGTTGAAAATTTCTTGGCAAAGTATTAAAGAAAGCTCAGGGAGGTAAAGATGTTAGAATGGACTTACTGCATAAGACCATAGAATCCATCACTAGACAATGTTCCCTAGAAAGGCCCAGAAGACATTCCATCCATTAATGTAATAAGAAATACAGAGTGAGAAGGACATCAGTCTCTTTGAGCAGCTCAGTGGTGGTTGTTCTCTATAGGCCAGGGATGAAAGTAAATGATGCTGCCAGACGACTGGGCTTTCTAGTGTCAATGATTTGGGAAACTGATTTTTTTCCAATGCCCATCAATAAGGAAAATAAACAGTAGTTCACATATCTGACGAAAGGACAGCAGTACAGATTCTCTGTCTTGTCTTAGAGCTATGTTAATTCTCTCCACAATATAGACTAAGGGGATTCTGATCATCCTGACATTCTGCAAAACATCACACTGGCCAACTACATTGACGACATGCTAATGAACAGAAAGTGGGACATCTTCTGGACAGTAAAAACCAGGCATGCCGGAGGATAGAAGATCAACCTTACGAAGAATCAAGGAACTACCATATAAGTGATGCTTTTAGGGACTCAATGGTTGGGCCCAGCAGTAACCCTTCATAAGGATTTGCATAAGTAAATTTTGCCTAATTCACCCTTCAGATCCCAGCCAAACATTATTTCCTCAAGGAGACTTCTGATTCCCAGAAAGACATTGGGGTTCCAATAAAGACTAATTTTTCATTATGTTTTCCTTCATAGCACTTTATCACATTTCATAATTGATTATTTATATAACTGATTATTTGATTAAGGTCTATAACATTCACTATACTGTCAGTTACATGAGGACAGGAACTATCTATTTTGTAAACCATTTTATCCCCAACACCTAAAGCAGTCTCTAAAATAGGATAAATGTTTAGCAAATAAAATGAATGAATGATGCTATAAATGGCTAAGGATCTACATATGGGAAGTGAACAGATGGTTCATAAACATTCTCCTGTACAATTTCACTAAGTGTGTAATACCCAATACTTCCAGACTCAGAATTTGGACCCTTTCAATGAGTTATAAGCTCATTTATAACTTAAATACCTATTCCAACTGGTGATAACATTAATAACTACAACCATTAATTATCTATTACGAATAGCATTTTTGTGTCCTGGGCACTGTTACTCACTTTATGAGGTGGGCACTATTATCAGTTCCAAAGATAAGACTTAGCAACATTAAATTTCCTAGAGTCATATATTAGATAAGTGGTAGAAAATGTATTTGAACCCAGGCCTATCAGACTCCAAAGCCTATGTTCCTAATGCCTATGCTATACCACCTTTTATTGCCATGGCCTGTTAAGTTTGATACTTAATATTCTCAAGTACATTAAAGAAATTATCTATAGAATCAGTGATGGAGAAAAGAATCAGTAGAGCACAAATGTCATGATCCCTGGTATATTGTACAAACTTTATTCCCATTACATAATGCTAAAAGTTGATAGGCAAGATCTACCCATTAATTAAAATCCTTACCTCTTCTGAGCACATCGAAGTAAACCACGTCCAAAATAAACTAAAGACATAAAGTTTTCACAAATTTCATTTTCCTGGATCACCATCTTCATCACCAGAAATTTATTCTCAGCTTCTATACAATCCTGTAGCAACATAAAGCTACGTTTGGCTGATGTAAAAGTCATTTTTTTCCTTTTACAATAAACAGTTATTTCCCAAACTGGAGAAGTTAGGGCAGCTTTAATATTGATCCACTCATTTATTCATATCTCTAATACCTCTCTGTATATAATCCCATAAATAATGTACTCAGTGCTTTAGTTATTTACAAAAGAACTAAAGATCTTTAACCAGTGTTTCAAAGTGAATATTAAAACAACAATCTTTATATCTAAAACTGACAAATATTACTAGCCAAAATAAGGGCTCTTCTGATGACTATGGGAACATAGTTCTTTATAATTCTTCCTAATATTTCATTCTAATTAGAGCACAAATCTTCCTAGTTTTTCAAATAGGAAATAAGTGACTTTTTGCCCACACATATAGTCTCTTTTGAGGAATGACAACCTTGATCATAAGCAATATAAGTTTACAAGTAAACTACAGAATCAGTTCTAATAAATGTTTTAGTTATCATTATTAAAACAGGCACAGTAGCCCCGGTCTCCCTGGGAAAAAAAAGTGCTGCATGGCCTCATTTTAAAATATTCTCTAGCACATCACACTTAATAATTAGCATTATGTGAAATTATTTAAAGTGGAAATGTTTTCAGTTTGGTGCTTATAAATTCTACTTCACCTAATTAACAAGTCAGATTTATTTATTTATGAAACCAAGTAGAGAGTACAAATTTAGGAATACAAAAAGTAAAAGAGATATCAAGGCTGCAATTGAGAAATCATTAAAAATAAGAAAAAGAGAATTTAAGTTTGTAAGCACCCTTAGAAATCACCTACTTACCTCCTAGATTTTTACTTTTGCACTTCACTTTATTTGATAAAGAATTTGAGGTAAAACTCACATTTTACAAAGAGGGTAAGATAAAGACCAGAGAGATTAAACTACACTAAAAAATGGATTAAAATTTATTATATAAGTGAAAGAAGCTAAACAATTTTCTGTTTTATATAAGTGATAAGTATTTCAAAGATAAATAAAAGAAAGTTATAAGCTAACATTAAGTTTCCCCTACCAATATTTTTAGTTTCACAATATAGTCTCTAGCATAATTACTCTACATTTTCAATATATGACAGAAAAGTCACAGAGTGGTTTCAATTTTTAGAGAATGTCAAAAATCAACATTTTAATTTGTTAAAATGAGGTCAGTGTATGTGAAGCGATTTATAATGTGCAAATAACAGATGCTACATACCTCTTTCTTTCCTCTTTCAGTGACTGCTACTCCATACAAAAATAGTAATGTCAAATAATAACCAATATTAATCTGATGTGCCTAAAAAGATAAAATATACTTCAGTTGATTATTTAGACTATGCTACTTTTTACTGTAGAACGCTTAATTAAATATCCTAGGCCTATTTAATAACTATTAAAAATAGTTAAAATTATCATTATATTGTCAGTCATCGAATAATCACTACAGAGAATTCATTTCAGATGTATTTAATAGTTTCACCCAGAAGACAGGCAATAATCTCAAAATAAAACATTAGAGTTTGATCAAAGAAAATGAAAGCAAATGCCATCAAGATTTGTTATACTAAAACTTTCGGAAAAATTCTCTTTCTCTCATGATATTTTTGTATAGAAACACTTTAGATAATAACAAACACTACCATCCAGCTTAAAAAATACAATGATCTCTTAAATCAAAGTCTTTTATTGTACACATGTGGGTTTTGTTATAACAGTATGAACATAAAGCTTATCACTTATTTAATGAAAAATTAAAACACAACTATTTCCTTCATTTGAAAATGGTCTATGCCAAATTAGAGATGGAGAATAGATTAGGGGTTAGGGAGAGTGAGGAGGGTAAAGTGTGCATATGACTATAAAGGGGTAGCATAAGAGATTTTCATGGTGATGAAATAGTTCTTTTATCCTGATTCCAGTAGTGGTTACAAACATATACACTTGTGATAAAATGGGACAGAACTACACACACCTGTGTGTAAAAAACTTATCACAGCTGACCTGAGAATGCTATCCTTAGAAAGGTCTGCTTGCAAGGCTGACCCTTGGCTGGTATCTGTAAATCTGGATTTCAAGAGTGTTCCCACTATTCTCTGATAGGGGTGTTTCACTGTTCCTAGACTGTTTGTGCCAACTATGTGATTTATGCTGAGCACCAGGAAGTTTCTTCTGGGAATCTGAAATTTTGATACATGTTAGGCAGAGGGTGCCTACATGATCAACCCCCAATAAAAATCTTGAGCACTGATTCTCTAATGGACATCCCTGGACAGAAATCTCTCTCTCTCTCACACACACTCACACTCTCTCTCTCTCACACACACACACACACACACACACACACACACACACACTGCTGCATTTTTGTTGCGAAGGAGGGAAAGAAGAAATGTACTCTGTGTAACCGCTCATGGAAGGGAGAAAACATAAGGAAGCCTGAAGATGGATTCTTCTAGACTCTGCCTACGTTATGCTTTGACCATTATAGTCTGGGTGTGTATCTTTACTATATAATTGCAATAAATCTCAGCATGAGTACAACTATATACTGAGTCCCATGAGTCCTTCTGAACACGGGGGTTGGAGACCCCTGACACAACACCCACTGTACCAATGTCAACTTCCTGGTTTCGATAATATATTGTTATGAAGATGTAACTATTGAGGGAAACTGCCTGCAGGGTACACCAGGACCTCTCTGTACTTTTCTATTGTACAAAGTTGTATTTTTGCAACTTCTCTGCATTTAAAATTATCTCAAAATAAAAAGTTAAATGGGAAGATGGCGGAAGAGTAAGACGCGGAGATCACCTTCCTCCCCACAGATACACCAGAAATACATCTACACGTGGAACAACTCCTACAGAACACCTACTGAATGCTGACAGGTGACCTCAGACCTCCCAAAAGGCAAGAAACTCCCAACGTACCTGGGTAGGGCAAAAGAAAAAAAGAAAACAGAGACAAAGGAATAGGGACTGGACCTGCACCAGTGGGAGGGAGCTGTGAAGGAGGAAAGGTTTCCCCACACTAGGAAGCCCCTTCGCGGGCAGAGACTGCGGGAGGCGGAGCGGGGAGCTTCGGAGCCGCGGAGGAGAGCGCAGCCACAGGGGTGCGGAGGGCAAAGCGGAGAGATTCCCGCACAGAGGATCGGGGCCGACCGGCACTCACCAGCCCGAGAGGCTTGTGTGCTCGCCCGCCGGGGCGGGCGGGGCTGCGAGCTGAGGCTCGGGCTTTGGTCAGAGCGCAGGGAGAGGACTGGGGTTGGCGGCGTGAACACAGCCTGAAGGGGTTAGTGCACCACGGCTAGCCGGGAGGGAGTCCAGGAAAAGTTCTGGAGCTGCCGAAGAGGCAAGAGACTTTTTCTTCCCTCTTTGTTTCCTGGTACGCGAGGAGAGAGGATTAAGAGCGCTGCTTAAACGAACGCCAGAGACGGGCACAAGCCGCGGCTAAAAGCACGGACCCCAGAGACGGGTGCGAGCCACGGCTAAAAGCGCGGACCCCAGAGATGGGTATGAGACGCTAAGGCTGCTGCTGCTGCCTCCAAGGGGCCTGTGTGCGAGCACAGGTCACTATCCACACCCCTCTTCTGGGGAGCCTGTGCAGCCCACCACTGCCAGGTTCCCGGGATCCAGGGACAACTTCCCCAGGAGAAAGTACGGCGGGCCTTAAGCTGGTGCAACGTCACGGTGGCCTCTGCCGCCGCAGGCTCACCCCACACTCCGTGCCCCTCCCTCCCCCCGGCCTGAGTAAGCCAGAGCCCCCGAATCAGCGGCTCCTTTAACCCCGTCCTGTCTGAGCAAAAAACAGACGCCCTCCAGCGACCTACACGCAGAGGCGGGGCCAAATGCAAAGCTGAGCCCCTGGGAGCTGTGTGAACAAAGAAGAGAAAAGGAAATCTCTCCCAGCAGCCTCAGAAGCAGCGGATTAAAGCTCCACAATCAACTTGATGTACCTTGCATCTGTGGAATACATGAATAGACAACGAATCATCCCAAATTGAAGAGGTGGACTTTGAGAGCAAGATTTATGATTTTTTCCCTTTTCCTCTTTTTGTCAGTGTGTATGTGTATGCTTCTCTGTGAGATTTTGTCGGTATAGCTTTGCTTCCACCATTTGTCCTAGGGTTCTACCCATCCTTTTTTTTAAAAATTTTTTCTTAATAATTAATTTTAATTTTAATAACTTTATTTTATTTTACTTTATCTTTTCTTTCTTTCTTTCTTTCCTTCCTTCCCTCCTTTAGACAACGAATCATCCCAAATTGAGGAGGTGGACTTTAACAGCAAGATTTATGATTTTTTCCCCTTTTCCTCTTTTTGTGAGTATGTGTAAGCTTCTGTGTGAGATTTTGTCTGTATAGCTTTCCTTTTGCCATTTGTCCTAAGGTTCTATCTGTCCATTTTTCTAAAAATTTTTTTTCTCTTAATAATTATTTTTTAATTTAATAACTTTATTATCTTTTACTTTATTTTACTTTACCTTCTTTCTTTCTTTCTTTCTTCCTTCCCTCCTTCCTTCCTTCCTTCCCCCAACGTCCCTCCCTCCATCCCTCCTTTCTTTCTTTCTATCCTTTCCTTCTTGTCTTCTTTCTTTCTTCCTTCCTTCCCTCCTTTCTTTTCTTTCTCTTTCTTTCTTTCTTTCTTTTTTTCTACTTCTACTAATTCTTTCTCTCTACTTTTTCTCCCTTTTATTCTGAGCCATGTGGATGAAGGGCTCTTGATGCTGCAGCCAGGAGTCAGTGCTGTGCCTCTGAGGTGGGAGAGCCAACTTCAAGACACTGGTCAACAAGAGACCTCCCAGCTCCATATAATATCAAATGGCGAAAATCTCCCAGAGATCTCCATCTCAACACCAGCACCCAGCTTCACTTAACGACCAGCAAGCTACAGTGCTGGACATCCTATGCCAAACAACTAGCAAAACAGGAACACAACCCCACCCATTAGCAGAGAGGCTGCCTAAAATCATAATACGTCCACAGACACCCCAAAACACACCACCAGACGTGGACCTGCCCACCAGAGAGACAAGATCCACCCTCATCCACCAGAACACAGGCACTAGTCCCCTCCACCAGGAAGCCTTCACAACCCACTGAACCAACCTTAGCCACTGGGGACACATCAAAAACAACGGGAACTACGAACCTGCAGCCTGCAAAAAGGAGACCCCAAACACAGTAAGATAAGCAAAATGAGAAGAAAGAAAAACGCACAGCAGATGAAGGAGCAAGATAAAAATGCACCAGACCTAACAAATGAAGAGGAAATAGGCAGTCTATCTGAAAAAGAATTCAGAATAATGATAGTAAAGATGATTCAAAATCTTGGAAACAGAATAGACAAAATGCAAGAAACATTTAACAAGGACCTAGAAGAACTAAAGATGAAACAAACAATGATGAACAACACAATAAATGAAATGAAAAATACTCCAGATGGGATCAATAGCAGAATAACTGAGGCAGAAGAACGGATAAGTGACCTGGAAGATAAAATAGTGGAAATAACTACTGCAGAGCAGAATAAAGAAAAAAGAATGAAAAGAACTGAGGACAGTCTCAGAGACCTCTGGGACAACATTAAATGCACCAACATTCGAATTATAGGGGTTCCAGAAGAAGAAGAGAAAAAGAAAGGGACTGAGAAAATATTTGAAGAGACTATACTTGAAAACTTCCCTAATATGGGAAAGGAAATAGTTAATCAAGTCCAGGAAGCACAGAGAGTCCCATCAGGATGAATCCAAGGAGAAATACACCAAGACACATATTAATCAAACTGTCAAAAATTAAATACAAAGAAAGCATATTAAAAGCAGCAAGGGAAAAACAACAAATAACACACAAGGGAATCCCCATACGGTTAACAGCTGATCTCTCAGCAGAAACTCTGCAAGCCAGAAAGGAGTGGCAGGACATATTGAAAGTGACGAAGGAGAAAAGCCTGCAACCAAGATTACTCTACCCAGCAAGGATCTCATTCAGATTTGATGGAGAAATTAAAACCTTTACAGACAAGCAAAAGCTGAGAGAGTTCAGCACCACCAAACCAGCTTTACAACAAATGCTAAAGGAATTTCTCTAGGCAAGAAACACAAGAGACGGAAAAGACCTACAATAACGAACTCAAAATAATTTAGAAAATGGGAATAGGAACATACATATCGATAATTACTTTAAATGTAAATGGACTAAATGCTCCCACCAAAAGACACAGATTGGCTGAATGGATACAAAAACAAGACCCATATACATACTCTCTACAAGAGACCCACTTCAGACCTAGAGACACA